GTGAATCCCGGGCCACCAAAGCAAAACAAGTGAACTTAATGGCTGTGCCACTGAGCCAGCCCCCTAACTCTCTCTTTTTACTAGTGTGTAAATAGACCCTGGGAGAAGAAGTGATTTTTCTAAGATCTTCCAATTAATTCATTGCAGTGCTGGGACAAGAATTAAGGACACCTGACTTCCACTGTTGTCGTTTAATGACTTAAATTACTGTTACTTTTTTTTTTTTTTGAATTTTCCCTTTTTATCCCCAAAGCCCCCCAGTACATAGTTGTGTATTTTTAGTTATTGGTCCTTCTAGTTGTGGCATGTGGGATGCCACCTCAGCATGGCCTGATGAGCATTGCCATGTCCGTGCCCAGGATTTGAACCGGTGAAACCCTGGGCCGCTGAAGCAGAGCACGCGAACTTAACCACTGGGCCACGGGGCCAGCCCCCAAATTACTGTTACTTTTATACAGCTACACCAGGTGTTTCTAGGGACATATGAAGCAGAGGAGTCGTTAAATGAAGGCACAGGAAACTGCTCTGAGGATCTGTTGAAGATCCCATGCACAGGACTCCGGTGCCTCCATTCTTCAGGAGGCTGGGCCCACATTGTGGCTTTCCTAAGGGCATCGGGTGGATGCTCCTGCCTTTATCTGCCAGTTGTTCTTTCTCTTCACTCAAAGATGAAATTGCAGAGGGCAGACTGGACCTACAGTCTAGCAGGGATTTTGTCTATTATCCTTTCTTACTCTGGAAATCATGCTACATGTCGGAAGGCATTCTTCATTCCATAAAAAAAAAAAGAATTTGCAGGGTGAAGATTCTTTCTTTCCCTCTGTCAATTAAATGGCTCAAGTTGCCAGAAATGAAGCATCTTTGTTTAATTTTTGGTTAGTATAAACTGGTTATACCACACACACAGAACTTGATAGAAAGCGTAAAATAAAATTTTGGCTTTCTGTCATGAGATTTTAGAAGAGTAGAGTTAGTATAAGTCAAAATTTTCCCTTTTTCTACTTTAAACAATTTTATGAGGAAAAAGGAATATTCTTAAGGGAAATAAAATATTTATTCATTTGAATATTTAAGATAAGGTTGCTACAAATTAAATTTGCCAATAATTTTAGCTGTACACGTTTTTTAGAATGTATTTATAAATATATTTAATATGCAATAATACGTTACGTAAATTAGAAGAAATGTGTAAGAAAATTTACTTCTTTTGCTTTTGTATCAATTTCAAATAGACAAAATTTATTTCTTTTTTATTTAATTGGAAAAAGTTTTTGTCTGCTATAATGAAGAGGTTAGTCATTGACAGTTTCTGCTTTAGTTCAGTTTTAAAGGAAAAGATGCAGCCAAATGAGAATGAGAACTGAAGAAAAGTGTGTAGTAAGCCAGCGATTCACCCATAGGTTATCAACACTTGATCTGGGTTGAGTTTGTATGAGATATTGGAATGTATTTCTTAGCGTTGAAATATCCTATTTTAGTATCTTTAATTTATAGCCATTCAGGACTTTGAAGCTCATTTCTTAGCAACGTCACAGAATCAAGGGTCTAAATAAGTCTATTTTATTTGTAAAAAGAACATAATATCTTATAGTGTTTATCAGTCAGTAACTTTTAAAATTAAAAAACAAAATACAAACAGGCTAGGAATTTTGACTCTTAAATTGATCCAACCTTCAAAAAGTACTTGTCCATTTGTGAAAGTTCTCCTTTTACATGAATTTCTTGTAGTCCAATAAATGTTTAATTATGAAACACCATATTTTATAGTTTAGTGGCACTAAAGGGTGAATATTTTGCAGTTGTGGAATTGTCTCTTTCTTCTTTTTTCTTTTTCCAAAGCACAACACTTGGTAGGAGAGTTGTCTGAGGGCGGCATGATCAGAAGCAGGGACTGGCCAGCTGTTCATGCATTTCATCTCAGTCATGTTAATTCATATGATATGCTCATAGGGGAGATATGTCAATTGATTAATGGGCCAAAGTGTTGATGTTATGTTTTTAGACTGCCAGCAGAGGAGATTAAGCTTCCAGACACAAGCATTCCATAGGCCTTTGTTTTCAAACAGGCATGTAATTAAAACAACTACACAATTCACTGAGGTTAGAGTGCCATGTTGTGATGCAGGACTTCCTATTTGGTATTTAAAAGCAGTGTGGAGCTGTTGTGTAAGTAGCACTGGGCTTGGAGTCACCTGTCCTAAGTTCTAGCCTTGGCTCTTCTGTTCTCTTAACAGTGGATCAAATGGCGAGGCTTGTTTTAAAGAACTTGAAAACTATAATAATTTCAACAAGAGGAGATTTATTACATACATTATGGAGCATCAAAGATAATTGAAAAACTATGCTGCCATTCTCATTGCATGCCAAAGATGATCATGATACTTTGTGCAAAACTCAGTTTACAAAACAGTCATTACAGTGTAATCCTTTTTTTCTTGTAAAATGTACCCCCACCAAAACAACAGACACTACAGTGTGTGTGTGTGTGTGTGTATGTATGTATGTTTAGTATGAAAATAATAATTTTTTTTTCCTAGGAAATACAGAATAATTTAAATATTATATATTCGGATAGCTGAAGATAGCTTGCTGAGATGTAAAGTTGGAAATCTGTGTTTGGTGATTCCTGTGGGTTTTATTTATTTTTACTGTCTTTATCCTTTGCAGTTATTGGTAGTATTGAGTATTTACTTTATTTTCAGAACTATTATATTGTATCTTTTTCTAGGGGAAGAAATGAATATTTGGCTACAGGTGGTTTTCATTCTTTTAGCATGAGGCATGTGCATTGACAGCCTTTGGAACTTTAATGCTCTATAATATGCAGGTGCTTTTATTGTTTATAGAAACCCCTAATCCTTGTTTGAAATGTATTAAGTGGTATGCCATCTGTAAACCCCCCAAATTCCATAGATTAATTAGCCTTTAAAGTAAGGTTGCCTTTTATCTAACTTTTAGTATAAACTCTTCCATCTGGGAACCTTCTTTTTTATGTGCTTGTTCAGTGTTCTGTGTACTGCAGCACTCTAGTATTAAGGATTATGGACACTGGCCTTCTCAGTAACAGTGAAGATCACTAAGAATAACAAAGATTGAATAAAGTGGCATTGTCCAGAGAATAGTTTGAAATTGGTGAATGGTCAGTCCATCATGCCTGTGCCACTGCTCTGTGTGTAACACGTAGCGTTACTGAAGAGTGGGATAGTTATTCCACAGGGAAATTTCATAGATGATGGTTGTGTAAGTTAGCATTCTTGTGACATTTCAGTTAATAAAGGAAAAAAAAAAGGGAAAACACCTTTTTTTGACATCTCATATAATGTTTCTTCTCCTTGTGGGTTTTGATTGAAAGGTGGGTTGACAGTGTTGGGTGTTGAGAGATCCCTTGGTTGGCTTTGGTATTCCTCTGTTTCTAGGAAATGTAGTATAGGGCGGGAATTGTGGTGTTATTTTAAAAGAAATCACTATTAAATTATTTAATTTTATTTACTGGTCTTGGTGAGTTATTGAACACCCTACAGTTGAGTATTTGTTTTTAAAGTCTGTTACAAAACATATAGAGGTCAGTAATTCAATCATTTGTGTACTTACAATAATCAGTTTAATATTATTTGGTGCTTTTTATGGACTTAATTTTGCTACATCACCCTCTCCCGCAAATAAATTAGACTAACGCTGTAACAAATAGGTTTCATAACTTAGTTTAGAAAACATGACAAAAATAATTTTGCTTAGTAAGTTTTGATTATGGTAGATATTATGGGTAGTAGTAAACAAAAAGTAGTGTTACGTGGTTTTTGCTTCCAAAGTAGAAAGTCTAGGGGGAGAGAGAGAGTTAACATTCATGAAACAATTGACACCATTAGAGTGTTCAGGTGTATCTTCCAAATTGTAACGGCGTAAGAAATTCAGAGAAAATAAAAACTCTGAGGAGTTTAGCCTAATTAGAGTTTGGAGGGTCCTTAGAATTAGGTTAGTGGAAGAGGCAGCGTTCCAAATTGGAATAAACAGTATGAATAAAGGAATAAGTTAGGCATGTGTGGAGATACAGAGTAGCCTTAAATGATGAGATTGGAGGGTGTTGTTTGAATAGCTGTGGGCTTAGGGCAGAAGGTACAGTTAAGTAGGGGTGGTCACGTTATGGAAGGCCTTGAAAGCAAAAGTGGACAGCTAGGATGCATGACTAGCTTGTTTTTGCAATAGAGTAGCAAGATAAAAACGTTTTTTGGGGAGGAAGTTTTCTTAGAAATGGTAGACGGGAAGAGATTGAAAACAATTGAAATAGGAGACTATTGCAGTAGTCTAGGGATGAGTTAACGAGTGCCTTTGTTAGGAGAGTGGCACTGTGAGTAGAGAGAGGAATAACTGTGAGACACACTTGCACTGGTCATTAACATAGCCTCTACACATAAAATGTAGTGAGTAAATGAGAGGTTGAGAAAGGGAGTAAATAAGGGAATGAAAGAAAAATAAGTTAAAGGTCACTTCTCTCATTAAGGTAAGTGTCCTGAGAGATACCACTGATAGAAGATGATAGATAAAAATAAATCCAAGTAGAGGGAGACGGTAAGTTCAGTTTGTAGATACTGAATTTAAAGTGCTGGTGACTCAACAAGTAGAATTGGCCTTCTAAGTAATTGGATATATGGTCCTGGAAAATAGTTAATTAATTGAAGGCCTAAGATGTAGATTAAAGGTGTATGTATAATACATACATACGTATGTACGCAAAGGCACCTTCTGAGAGAGTTTCTAAAGGGAAACTTGGAAAATCAGTAAAGAAGGCTTAGAAGACACCAGAAGAAATCATTTAACATTTAGGTTTTAGAAAGTCATGTTTAATCGTTTGATTTCAGTTTGCTTAGTTTGAGTAATGTTGTTTTAAAACAACCAGTATCCTGTGCTTTGAACAGTTTGTTTAAAAATAACTGTAAAAATTGGTGTATTCTAAAATCTCATTCTAAAATTAGAATATTCTCATTCATTGTAACTTTTCCTAGATTGCTGTGCTAAGGAGACAGCAACGCATGATAAAGAATCGAGAGTCGGCTTGTCAGTCCCGCAAGAAGAAGAAAGAATATATGCTGGGGTTAGAGGCAAGATTAAAGGCAGCCCTTTCAGAGAATGAGAAGCTGAAGAAAGAGAATGGATCACTGAAACGGCAGCTGGATGAAGTTGTATCAGAGGTGAGTGCTAGCGGTATAGCCACAAGGAGATGGGTTAAAGTGTTCTTTTTTTCCTGATAAATCAATTGAGAAACTTACATTTTAAATTAAATTGTGTAAAATAATAGTACTAGGAAAAGGAGGGCGCAGTAAGCCCTAAAACATTTGCAGTTAGGATAAAGCATTGGAAAGAGGGCTTTTGAATTGTACCTCTCCATCTACGTACAAAGTTACCTATTTTCTTGGATTTCTCCTCCCTCAGTACCGTAGCACTCTCTTTTCTCACTAAATGAATCACATTGAGGCTCCTAAATAGTTCCACCAACTCTTCCCTTTTAGCAAAGAAAACAATACAAAATAAAAAAATTTTAACCTTTTCTGTGTCCACCTGATCTCCGTTATGTTTTTTACATTTTGTTGCCATGCTGGTCCTGATAAAGTTAATCTTCTCCTCAGTTCTGTTCATAAAATCTGATGCTTTCAGGATTTCCCACTGCAATGCTGTCCTGAACCAAACAGATGCCTGTGCCCACTGTTTTTTCTGTTTTGCCTCGAGCACATGGGAATATTCCATCATGTTACTGAAAGCAGTGGTTCAAGAGACAAACCGCAGAAGTATCTCAGAATTTTCTGAACATCCATAAAAAATGTAAAATTGTTGAGTTCGCTCCTTTTGGGTGAAGAAACAGCTGCAACAGAGTGGCTGCTGTGTTTCTTGGGCTACTCTCCTTTTCTCTCTGTTGGAAAAGGGAACTTGCAAGGCTCTGCTCTAGTCTCTTGGAAACTTCTATTTCCTCAGTTTTGAGTTTTGGGTTTTTTTTTTTAAGCTATTCATATAGCTGGTGAAGAAGAGAGTTCTTATCTTAGATGTTGCTTTTTTTTGTGAGATGGATCTGTAGTTTAATTGTGTTTAATATGGTCGTTTCCTTTAGAACCAGAGGCTTAAAGTTCCTAGCCCGAAGCGAAGAGCTATCTGTGTGATGATAGTATTGGCATTTATAATACTGAACTATGGACCTATGAGGTAAGTGTATAGATATTTGTTTTGGATACTAATGCTAAAAGTTTAAATTCTCGTTGTTTATTATTTTCAGCTCTAGTCATAAGCTAGAGAAATGGGTTTATTTTGTTTTTCTCAGAGACAAACAGGAAGAAGGAAGATTGGTTCCTCTTCCTTGTTCTTTACCTAGTTCTAACAGAAAGTTCATGTTTTTTAATGAAGGAAGCCTTAGATTATGGAACAGATCACTGGTGAAGCAGAATAATGAACTGATTAATTAAGACCATGGGCCTTGGAATCAGACTGCCTGGGTTCAAATCCTAGCTCCTCCACTTGGTAACTTTGTTGTCTGACGGCAATTAATCTCTCTGTGCCTCAGTTCCATACCTTTAAAGTGGGTGTTTATTTAATAATAATAATGATACCTACCTTAATACCACGATACTTGAGCATCAGTGATCGCAAGGCACTTGGGTGGCTTCCTCCCTGGCTAGAAAATAAACAGTTAGATAGTAATTCTCAGTTTCTGATTTAGTAGATTTGGAATGGGAATCAAGAATCTCAGTATTTTTAAACATTCCAGCTAATTCTGGTACAAGTTCTCAGCTAATCCAACTGGAGAAATGCTGCTTTTAGGTTGGAATAGAATACTAGAATGCAGAGGGATCTTAGGAATCATCTTTTTCAGATTCCCACCCACCATGGCACTTCACGTGAACAAAGTCAACATCCTAGATGTTGGGGAGTCAAAGAGGAATTAGGGGCCATGCCTTCAAAGATCTCATGAACCAGCTGGGAGGAGAGACATGTAAAAGGATGACTACAGTATAATGTGATGAATGTCATAATAGCAGTATGAACAACGTACTAAAAGAGTGTAAATCAGTATGAATTCCTTGAGGAGAAGGTTCATGACATATTGATAGATGCTCAAAACATTTTTTGTTGAATGACAGAGTGATAAGGGAAATCCCCAAAGGAAAAGCTGAATCTTGAAGTGTGATAACAGTTTGCAAGATGGAAACTATTGGAAAGGCATGCCAGGCAGAGGGAACAGCGTGTTAAAGGGCACAATTGTGAAATGGCCTGACATTTTCAGGAAAGAGTGAAAAATTCAGTGTGTCTTGTACATGTGGGAGTGTGCACATCGAGGGACTGAATGATGCTGTTTTTCAAGTTAGCAAACATAGAAAGGTGAATAGTTTCATGATGGAAGACAGTGGTTTATTATTAGTATGGGAAGTTTATGATACTGATTTGATATTGAGAATTACCATGATAGACAGACAGATAGACAGACAGACAGACAGTAGTGGAGTAGATGAGATTATCCAAGGAGAATAAGTAGAGGAAGAAGAGTAATAAGAATCTGAGGGAAAGCAGCATGAACAGTGGATAGACGGGAAAAGAAACTCAGAGTGAATAGAGTTAGGGACAAAACCTGAAGAAAATGGTTTTCTGAAGCCACTGGTGAAAAGAGTTTCAGAAGGGGCTTGGGCAGTGGTATCACGTGCTGAGGGCTGAGGAGAGGCAGAAAGCTGAGATGAACATTGAATTTGGCGATTAGGTTAACAATAATTTCAGAAAGCAGATTTATTAGGAGTGGGAGTGAAATCTATATTGAAGTTAGTTGAGAACTGAAAGGAGTGATAAGTTGAATAATCTCTTTTTTATTAATAAAACTTTTTATTATGAAGATTTTCAAACATAAAAAAATTAGAGAAAATAGTATAATGAACCCCATTATACCTATCACCGAGCTTTAATAATTATCAACATTTTGCCGGTTTTGCTGAAAAGAGTTTAGGAAGTAGAGACAGTGAGTATGGACTATGCTTTTAAGAGCTTTGAGGCAGGGGCCGGCCTGGTGGCATAGCGGTAAGGTTTACACCCTCCACTTTGGTGGCCCAGGGTTTGCGAGTTCGGATCCCACGTGTGGACCTACACATGGTTCATCAAGCCATGCTGTGGCTGCTTGCCACATACAAAATAGAGGAAGATTGGCACAGATGTTAGCTCAGCAACAATCTTCCTCAAGCAAAAAGAGGAAGATTGGCAACAGATGTTAGCTCAGTGCCAGACTTCCTCATCAAAAAAAAAAAAAGAGCTTTGAGGTAAAAGGGAAAGAAGAAAATGAGAGGATTAAGTAGATTCTTTTTAGCATGTGGGAAACTTGAGAAGATGGTCATCTAGTTTTCGATTAAATCTTCAGTGAAATGTACTTCTGATAGTTCTTCATGTGCTTGAAGATAATTATATCTTCTTTTATTTTACTGTCTTTTTAGCCCTACCCTCAGGCGTAACATACCTGATTCTTTCACCTATTTGTCCTGTATATCAAACTTTCAAATCCCTTCATTGTCCTAGTACCTCTTCTGGACACTCATTCATTCATTCATTCAAACTGAGCTGCTTCTGTGGTCTAGGCTTTGTGCTTGGCACCTTTGTCAGTGTACATATTGGAATGTGGCATCCAGAGCTGAGCACATTTCCTCAGGTATGTTCTGACCTGTGTAGAAAATATAGGGAAACTCTTACTTCCTAAGAGCTCTCTTTTTCATGCAGCCTCAGATTGTGTTACCTCTTTTTAGTAGATGTATTAACTAAAATCTCCATATCTTTTTCACACGTTTGATGGCCAAGCTAGGTCACTCCCATTTTATTTCTATATAGTTAGTTTTCTAAAAAATAAAGTACAGATCTTGTATTCCACTTTTGTTATCATTTGGTATTAGCACAACTCTTCAGAGCATTTGATATCCCATCATGGAACCCCAGAGACCCATCTACTTTTTAATTAGTATACTAAGACAGTTCAGTGGAAAGAGGACATAATTCTGAGTTGACCTATTTTTGAAAGTTCACACTATACTAGTCATGTTAAATAGAAGATGCAGAAGAGATACCTGGAACAGCCTTCTGAGTTATTAACAATTTTTTTTACTGCTTTCTTCATTATTTACTGTTGACGTTTTGCCCATATTCTTCATGTTAAAATTATTTTCTCATTTAATTTTTTTGTTCAAGGAATGGGACTTCTTTTATTCATTAAGAGCTATTTCTTGATTAATAAAGGAGAAAAGAAGCATGCTAATCAAAACTTTGTCCTCCTGAGTTATGAACTTGAATATAAATGAATTCCTTGAATAAATTGAATCAGATTACCGTGCAGTGAATACAGAGTCACCAACAACTGTCAGAATGAAGCATTTTATACTAGGACCCCCAGTGCCAGAGAGGGCTGCATGGATGTAGGCCATTTGGTAGAGCTGCTCCAGCTATACTCATGTCTTCCTTCAAGGTTTCTTTTATATAGTGACTTTTTCCACTGACTTCCCTCCATGACTTTTGTCCACAGCCCTTGAAGAAAATAGAGCCATAGTTACCTCTTTGCTTATTTTTAATTACCAGAGTAATACATGACTATAAGTTCTTTGTAAAAATTTCAGAAAGTAAAGTAAAAAGTGAAAGTCTTCTAGTCCACCTTCCTCCCAACCACTTCCCTTCCCCCACCCTACTCTTCTCTTTATAAATAATTTTTTCCAGATTTCCAGATACATATTACTTTACTAATTCAATGAGAATATATTTATTGACTGTTTAGTGACTGCTCGGTATAATGCAAGACTAAGAATATAATAATGAGCAGAAACTAATGTAGTCCCTGCCCTCATGGAATTTACAGTCTATTGTAGGTGACAGATATTAAGTCAATTACTCAGATAAATGCACAGTTATAACCATATCAGATGCCACGAAGGAGAGGTACACAATATCACGAGACTGCATAATAGGTTCGCTGGAGCTAGTTAGGGGATTAAGACAAAATCTCCCTGAGAAAGGGACGATTGTGTCAACATCTAAAAGAAGAAATTAGTTAAGATACAGGAAGAACATTTCATTGGGAGTCAACAGCATGTATAAATGTGTGTATACACACATTTGTGTTTGTGTCTTTGTGTTTCTATGTATATAGTTTTTAAAACTTGGTTTTACATAAAAGGCATCATATACATATTATTCAGGAATGTATTTTCTCACTTTAAAATATGTCAATACTCACTCTCTTATAATGGCTACATAGTTTTCTGTAATATGGATATGCTATAATTTAGCACCTCCAAACTTTAGGGTTGGGGAACCTTTTATACCCTTAAAAGTTACTGAGGATCCCAAAGAGCTTTTGATTATATCTATTGATATTAATTATATTAGAGATTAAAACCAAGAGATATTTTAAAAATATTTATTCATTTGAAAATTATAATAAACCATTATATAAGATAAATAATGTTTTTATAAAAAGTAATTTTCCAGACCCTCAAGAATTTAATGAGAAGAGGTCGCTTTATTTTATATTTTTGCAAAATCTTTGATGTCTGACTTAATAGAAGCTGTCTAGATTCTCATACCTGTTTCTTCATGCAAATCTGTTTTGACAGATTGTTTTGGTTGAAGTAAGTGAAGAAAATCCAGACTCATGTAGGTGTATAGTTGAAAAAGGGAGAAGCTTGCTGACCCTTTGAAAGCGTTTTGGGATCTCCAGGGCTGCACACTTTCAGAACTGTCGCCATAATTTATTTAACCATTCTGTTATTAATGAGCATTTAGGTTATTTCCATATATATATAATGTTTTGTGCATATAAAGAGAGAGAGAGAAAAGAGTATGTATTGTATGTGTGTATATTCAAATCTTAGAAGTAGACTGGAGTTAGAAAGTACGAATATCTGAAATTGTGATAGATTTTGCCAAATTGCCTTCCAAAGACTGTACCAGTTTACACTCCCAGCAGCAAGTGATAGGACTGTCCATTTCTCTACACCTTTCCTAACATGGATGGTTTAAGTATTTTTTAATATTTGCCTATCTTCTGGATCAAAAATGTTATCTTACTCCAGCCGCACTAGCCTCCTTGCTCTTCCGTGGACACACTAAGCATGCTCCTGCCTCAGGGTCTTCGCATTTGTTATTCCCACTGCCTGGAATGCTCTTCCCCCAGAGAGTCTTCCGTCAAGTGTTAG